GGTTGCGCCGGAACCGGACAAATCGCACTCTCGCCTGCATTTCGCGCGCTCGACACGCACGATCTTGCGCGGACCGGACAAATCGCACTCTCGCCTGCATTTCGCGCACTCCCACGCACGATCTCCGCAGAGGGTTGCGTTCTAAGTTGACGCTGTTCGTCCCACCCTCCGCCTTTAAGGAGAATTTAGAAAGTGGGGGAATGTTTTTCATTAGGATATCTCCCGTGAAAGTTTTTCATGCTTACACTTGCAGGCCGACACTTGGATACTTACACTTGCATACTTGCACTTGGATGCTTTCATGCTTACACTTACACTTGCATACTTCACTTGCAAACTTTCACTTGGATACTTCAGTGATTGTAAGTATAGAAGTGTAAATGTTCAAGTGTAAGTGCAAGTGTTCAAGAGATTTTCCGGAAGAACCCCTTCGCAATGCTTTCGGGAAAAAGGGAGACCCCCTTCTGGACTGGGCAGTAGGAAAACCCGATGCGCAAAGGCCCGGTATCGCTGTTGGGTTTCAGGGCGGGCAAACGACACCATCTATTTCTGCCCGCAACAGCGGTCGGAAAGGGTGCCAGAGGGCACCGACCACTGTCCAACGTCGCTTTTGGAACCCTATAGACAAAGATGCGCGGGACCGCATCATAGCAGCCTAGGTGACGGCCACAGACCTTTCCCACGTGATGGCCACTCAGGCCATAGTAGCCATAGTAGCAGCCCGGGTGATGGCCACAGACCTGTCTGCTGCTGTAAAAGGCTCAAAAAGTGCTGGTCACGGCCACAAGCTGATCCAGCTGCCCCGCACAAAGCGCTGGTGTCGCTGCGCAAGGTTTCAGACCAGGCAAGCGACACCATGCCATGAAGAGCTGCAGTCCCTTGCTCGCGCCACGCAAGGCCCAATGCCGGGCAAACGACAGCCCGTAGCAGCAGCGCGGCTGTAGGCGCAATGTTGCTGTACAGCGGGCGGAAAGGATGCCGCAAGGCAGCGGCCACTGTCTAACGTCCCTTATGGAACCCTATAGAAAAATAGGTGTGGGGCCGCGTCGTAGCAGGGGAGACAAGGCGGACACAGCAACGAGAAGGGAAAGAGCAGAATTGAGAACGCCTAGCAGTAAACTGTCTTGGGAATGAATAGAAATGTTGCATCGCCGGCGGAAAAGGGCGGACACCAGCAGCACAGACCTGGGAGACAAATGAATAGAAATTCTAAATGGCCAGCGGAAAAGGGCGGGCGCCAGCAGTGACAGACCTGGGAGACAAATGAACAGAAACGCTGTGACGGACCTGGGAGATAAATGTTGCAACGCCAGTGGAAAAGGGCGGACCAGCGGGGGGCAAATGAACAGAAATGCTAGATGGCCAGCGGAAAAGGGCGGACACGCGGAGAAGGGAGAGAGGGGAGAGAGAGAAGAGAAGAGAGAGAGAGAGAGAGAGAGAGAGAGAGAAGAGAGGAGAGAGAGAGAGAGAGAGGAAGAGAGAGAACATAAAGAGAAAACAAAGAGAGAGAGAGAGAGAGAGAGAGCAGTGACAGACCTGGGAGACAAATGAATAGAAATGCTACATGGCCAGCGGAAAAGGGCGGACACCAGCAGTGACAGACCTGGGAGACGAATGAATAGAAATGCAAACAAATGAGTAGAAATTCTACATGGTGAGCGGAAAAGGGCGGACACCAGCAATCCCAGACCTGAGAGACAAATGAGTAGAAGTGTTGCATGGCCAGCGGAGAAGGCCGGACAGCAGCAGTGACAGACCTGGGAGACAAATCAATAGAAATGCTACATGGCCAGCAGAGAAGGGCGGATGACAGACCTGGGAGACAAACGAATAGAAATGCTACATGGCTAGCAGAGAAGGGCGGACACCAGCAGTGACAGACCTGGGAGACACATGAATAGACATGCTACATGGCACCAGCAACGTGACACTCCCAGACAAGGCCATAGTAGCTGTAGTAGCAGCCACAGACCTGTCCTGCTGCTGTAAAAGGCTCAAGAAGGGCTGGTCACAGCCGCAAGCCGATCCAGCTGCCCCGCACAAAGGCCTGGTGTCGCTGCGGAGCGTTTCAGGGCGGGCAAACGACACCATCTATTTCTGCCCGCAACAGCGGTCGGAAAGAGTTCCCAGAGGGAGCGGCCAGGGTGTCTAACGTCGCTTTTGGAACCCATTGAAAATGAGGTGCGGGATCGCATCGTAGCAGCCTAGGTGATGGCCACAGACCTGTCCCACGTGATGGCCACTCACTCCCATAGCTGCCCGCGCAAAGGGCTGGTGTCGCTGCGCAGGGTTTCGTAGGAGCAGCCGAGGTGATGGCCACAGACAAGTCCTGGAGCAACTGGCCGAAAGCAAGTTGAGCCACCGTTTCACACTGCAGTGTCCCAGACGCCGCCCCGCCTAGGCGTCAGCTAGGCAGGGGTCGGCAGATTTCAGCTTCAAGGGTTCGCCTGGCGCTACAGTCTTGTTTTTATTCACTTGCGGCTGTCAGAGACCATCTCAGACCATCTCAGATCCATTTTCCAAGGCAAAGTGGGCCGTGGAAAGCTCGCGTGGCCGAAACTTTGCGATAGCATGGCCAAGGAGGAGGCGCGACGAGACTCGGGCTTGGGCGCCTCGCAGACGGCAGAAGTGGCATATTTGGAGAAGATGGGTTTCTCGGATTTTTTCAGAATGATAGCCTTTTTCTTGCCAGTTAAGTTGTTGTCCGCAGCTTTTCGTGCACCTGAACGCCGCCACCAACAAGTCTTCGGAAACTGTCTAAATGTTTAAAAAGATCTGGCAGATTTGACAGCTAGTTTTTGTTTTTTTCCCAAGGTGCTGGGGGTGCTGGGTTGGTTGGTTAAGCATTTTTGAGGCTTGGAGTATGAAGAGCATGACATCACGGAATTTGAAGCATTTCTTCAAAAGTGTCTCGGTGCGGGCAGTTTCTGTGGAGGAGCGGTCATTTGAATGGGATGTTTTCTGCCAGGATGGTTGGAGGTTCGTCATATTGGCAGTGGTGTCAGAAGCAGGGAACCGCGCGTTTTTTCTTGCCAAAGAAGGAACAGAATAGATTACCAGGTCAGCTGCAACATGGGGGAGTCTGCCCCTGCGGTTTGTGGAAATTCATGGACATCCAGCCCTCGCGTTCGCCCAAAGTCTGTAGTTGGGTCAGTTGGGTCATGTGTTTCTGTTGGGAGCTGAGTTGGTGGGGTGACCGCGCTTCGCGCCGAACTCCCACCCACACGCCCGCACGCTCACACGCTCCATCTCGTGTGCCGCTCCATCTCCTCGACGATGGTCGGTGTTGCTTGGTTTGGCGACCGTGCCACACGCGCCAAGGCCGCAGCTCTGCAGTTCCGAACTTCAAGTGTAGACGGTTTTTTCTCGGCGCCTGCTGAGAGCAGGAAGGCCCAAACGTTTGTTTCAATTGTGGAACTGGAACACTGAACACTGGACCCTTGCATGAAAATGACCGACTTGGTGTTGTTTGGGATAGAAGTTGTTGGAGTGGTGAAAAAACGCGGGTGTGCTTTTGAGCATTGGATGCCATTCCACGAAAGTTGTCTTTAAGGATTGTTTAGGTTGAGGTGATGTGATTGGTTCTTGCTTGACTTGGAGGTGTGTACAAGACTCTGGAGCACCAGAACCCTCATATTTGGCTGATTGAAAACGATGATGGGCTCACACACTTAAAACTTTTGTTTGGATCTCACTACCAAACAGTGAGTGAAGTGAATGTCGCAGCCGCCCACAGGTCAAGATCCAACTCTGCGAGCAAGAGGAAGAACTCCACCCACGATACCAACTGAAGTCCCCGGAACTCCTCTTCTTCGCCCCCCTTTTTGGGAGGAGGTCATGGTCAAAACCTTGGCTCTCTGCAAGGATCTGCTTGTGTCATGAATCAAAGTTGGTGGGTTAAAGGAAACTAGACGCCCTGAGGGCCCGAAAGTTTAAGCAAAGCGTGGAACAAGAATACAGTTCCTTTTTTCTGAGCAAACAGAGCTGTGTTGGCCGCTCATTTCCTTTGTGACATCGCCAAGCAACCCAGCGCGCGCAAAAATTCGCACCTCACGTTTCGGCACTGAACACGCCGGATCCTGAGAGAGGGTTTCGCCAGTGCCGGCAAGATCCGACGCCGAGCAAACCGCGTGGCACAGCGACAGCAAAATAGAATACCCTCCACGTGGTGTGCCACACACTATACATACAATAACCATGTCGCACCCAGCCTCATATACACCGCCACTCCACCGGCTCCCCAGCGACACGCCGCGTTGGGGCACTCGACAGGCCGGATCCTGCGAGAGGGTTGCTTCTCGCGATCTCTCGCTTGGTCCGCCCCGGCTTTAAAGATAATAAAGATTCGAGATGTCGAGACAAAAACTTGGCCAAGTCTCTTGCAAGTGCTAAAGCTTGGCCAAGTCTCTTGCTAGTGCTCAAACTTGGTCAAG